CTCCAGCCCGGGTAACATGAGTGAAACTCAGCTACTCAGGAGGCTGAGGCAGGAGAATTGCCTGAACCCGGGAGGCGGAGGTTGCGGTGAGCCGAGATCGCGCCATTGCACTCCAGCCTGGGCAACATGAGTGAAACTCTGTCTCAAAAAAAATAAAATTAAATTAAAGTTTTTAAGTTCAGGTGTGATTCAATATAATGTATTAGACACCTACAGTGCTTGTCTTCATTGGGAAGAGTAATTCTTTGAAATACTGCAAAGACTTCCATTAGTTGCTAGCACTTTGAATTTTAGAAATAGTTTTTCTCATGTAACAGATAGATGAAGTAAATTGTTTAATCTGCAATAATTTTAGTAAGTACTTAATTATAAAATTAGATTACAAATTCATTAGTATAAATGGTTTATTATGTGTTAAACCCTTATCCATTTTTATTGAGTAAAAGTCACTGATAAATAATAGAACTATTTCATTATAATAATATAATGCTTATTTCTTTATTGTAAACATATGTAAAAAGTTATTAAAGTAATCCTTTTTTTCTTTTACAGGCATTAACTGGACTGATCAATGTGGGCAGTATAGATTGCCAACAGTATCATTCTTTTTGTGCCCAGGAAAATGTTCAAAGATACCCTGAGATAAGATTTTATCCCCCAAAGTCAAATAGAGCTTATCAATATCAGTAAGTAGTCTCTCATATTTGAAGGCATTTATTATAATTATTTAATTATACACTTAACAGTTAAGTTACCTGAACAAAATAAAAGTTAACCCAACAAATATTAATTGGGAGCCCACTATATAAAGACAGTGTGTTCATGAGCATTTCAGGAGATTACACTAGCGTATTCAACAGTCTCATGGTTCATAGAGCTTATAGTCTAGACAAAAAGATAAGGAAAGGAAGAGCTAGCATTTATTAAGTCCTTACTATATTAGATACTTTACTCATATTATTTCCAATAATCCTCACATATACTCGGTAAACTAGGAATTACTACCCTTTCTTCTATTACAGAGAGGTAAACTGTGATTCTCAGACCTTAGAATCTAAGGTCTTGGAGTTACCTAAGGCTCATATAACGTCCCCAAGTCACACGGCTGCTAAGCTGGGGTTTGAATCCAAGTCTGTCTCAAAGCGCATGCTGTTTCCACAACACCATATGGTATTTCAGGTAGAAAACTCAAGTGTAAGATAGATACAATGAATGTTCTTAAAGAAGTAAAAATGAGCCATGGATTTCAAGGGAGGAAAGAATTAGAACTGTGACAAAATTATGAAAGGCTGCATTTTGTAGGTAGTTTTTGACATGTATCTTTAAAAATGGGTAGGAATTTGACAGATAGTAATAACTTGAATAAAGATTCAGAAACTAAAACCTTGGACATTCTGAGTTTTGCGATTCCCGTAGGTCTACAGGAGATGTCCAATAGACAGCTAGACGTTCTGGGCTGTGTAGGGCACAAAGATATCAAGACTAGAGAAAAATACATTTATGAAGCCTTGTAACCAGAATTTGTAGCTAGGTATATCTGAGAAGAGAGATGCCAGATGAAATCAATCAATGTAACTTATTTTTTAAATTGCGACAATAAGATTGTTTTTTAAAACTAATATTTTTTCTTCTCTCAGCAGTTACAATGGTTGGAATAGGGATGCTTATTCCCTGAGAGTCTGGGGTCTAGGGTGAGTAATTAAAATATATATCATTGTATAAAATAGATTCAAAGCTATTTACCCCCCTTTTATGTCAGTAGCTAAATTTACTGTGGGTAAGTTTCTAGCATTTTAAATTACTTAGTAAAGGATTATATTTACCAAGATAATACTGTATTTTATTATATTGCCATTCCTTGATACCATTTTTAACTTAGAAAGTCTTATAATATTATTACATTTTAGATGTTTGCTTTGGTTTTATAAAATTAAAAATGATTTTGATCCTTTCCCACAGATTTTTACCTCAAGTATCCACAGATCTAACACCCCAGACTTTCAGTGAAAAAGTTCTACAGGGGAAAAATCACTGGGTGGTTGATTTCTATGCTCCTTGGTGTGGACCTTGCCAGAATTTTGCTCCAGAGTTTGAGCTCTTGGCTAGGGTAAGTCTTATCTATCTTAAATAATTTGTAGCCACATTCATGTTTTAATAATTAGATAAAACATTCTAAATGCATAATTTTTAGGTTTTTTTCTTGTGTTTCCTCTAATTTTAAAAATAATTATTATATTTCTATGACTGTAATCGTTGTAGTAGATTTCATCTTTCTTTGTTAAAGCTTTTAGCTAACATCTTCTCTATCTTGGTAGACATCATCATCTACCTAGTCATAAAAGCCAGAAACTTCTCTCTTCTCTCTCTTGTCTACTTCCTCTTCCCCACCCCAGTACCCTGTTAGCCTCCAGGCAGTCACTAGAATCTGTCAGTTCTATCTCCTAAATGTATTTGAAATGTCATCTCTTACTCATCTCTACTGCTAGCCTATATCTTCAACCCTTTATCATCTCTTGCCTAAACTTAACCATATTTGCCTTTGAAATACAGTTTTCCCTTGGTATACTCAGGGTATTGGTTCCAGGAACCCTGCATTCCATAGCAAAATCTGTGCATGCTCAGGTCTCACAGTGGGCCCGCTGTATACAGGGTTTCACATCCTATGAATACTCTATTTTCCATCTGCAATTGCTTGAAAAAAAAAAATTCCCAGTTCAAGCAGTTCAACACAGTTCAAGCCTTTGTTGTTCAAGAGTCAGCTATAGTCTCATACTACCAGTCCACCTTTGTCAGTGCTGCCCTAGTCATCTTCTGAAATATTTCCCTCTGTGGCTTGCTAAGTTTCTTAATACACATACATTGACTTCAGCTGTCTGATATGAGCTCTTCTCTGTTGTCCACTTCACACCTTAGATTTCAGGTGTAACAGAGTACTCCGGGTTCTCTGAACATGTATCCTTATTTACATGCCACTCCCTCTCTCTAAAATGCTCTGTCCTTAACTTGGTCATCTGTATTTTTTTCTCCTCCTCTTACAAAACTCAGCTCTGATGGCACTTCTGTATTCTCTGCCCTTCTCAGTTAATCAATGTCACCTGGATATGTTATCAAGTATACTGATATAGAAGGAGCTGCATACCAATGGAAATATTTAGTTGTAGCAATTTTGGGTTTTCTGTTTGTTTGATTGGGTGGTTTTGTTTGCTTTTGGTACAGCGTTGTCCATCTTCCTTTGTAAATGGCTTGCCTCTTCTGGAGGGCAAGTTCCATGTTTTATTTATCTTTATATCCCCAGGGCCTAATTCAGTAAATACTTATATAAAATTAACCTGAATACATACCCTCAATCCAGTCTGAGTTTTTGGTGTTTCTTTCTACATAACAGTCTTATTAGTGACTTAATCTAGATTGATAGCTTTCTTGCCTACCTAACACAAGGAAATCTTGCCACTAGTGGTTGGTATAAAACACTCAACTAGAATGAGAAAGTCAGCACCAGTTCTACCAGTTCACACTAAAGCTTAGAATCCCAGACCATGGGAATTTTTTAGCAGAGGGATTTTAAAGGTCTTATTAGCTATAAAAGATTATTTTTGTTATCAGCTGGTCCATAAGAGGTTTATTCTTTCCATTTTTTCTAGTCATTTTCTCTTATGCTTCCTTCTGTAATAATTGTTTTACTCCATTTCTCATGTACTAAAAACTTTGCTTAGTTATAAACTTTGTAATGCAACTCTGTATTGTATCTAGATTATTAAACATGAAAAAGATCACTCATTCAACAAATTTTAAGCACCAAGTGAAAAGCAGTTATGCTAAATAGTAGGGCTACATAACTAACTCCAGTGAAATAAAAGGAAAATGAAAAGAAAGAAATTCCATGTCTTTAAGGAGATTTTAATCTAGTGGAAAGAGAAAATACAAATAAATCTAAGTAATATAATTGCTGTAGTAAAATTAGAATGAAGCTGAAACATGGGCAGAAGGATGTCAATGATGCCAGAGAAAGATGTTTAGAGCACCAAAAACAGTATAGTGTCATCTCATAAGTAACTGGAAATAAAAATAAACAATTAAACATTTTGTAAATGATATAGAAACTTATGAAAATAACATTTCTACATTTTTCTTACTTTCAGTATCCGTGTGTCTGTATGTCTGCCTGCCTACATGCTTGTGCCCTAACACAAGTTAGTCTGCATATTAGTGTACCCCTTCCTTGGGGATGTAACTTGAGGCAGCAAAGATACTTTAATTGTCCCAAAGTGAGAGGTGATAACTTTAGGATTAGGGCAGTGTGATAGAAAGAAGGAGACAAATACAAAAGAGAAATAAGAATAAATAAAATTGAATGTGATAGATGAAGGTTAGAGAGGAGTCTGGATAAGCCTAGTTTTGGGCTTGAACTGAATGAATAAATACAACAGGAGTAAGAGTGGGTTCGGGGGACATACTGTGTTTAGGTGCTTATGTGGCATTCACCCAAAGAAGGCCAGTAGTTAGAAATGAAATAGAGATAGATTGGGGTACATCAGCATATAGACACGTAAAACCACCCTGGGCAACTGTTCAGAATGAAAAGATTGTTGATGAAAGATGGAACTCAGATTGGATATTATGACTTGAGGGGCAGGTTAAGGAGATCCTCATGCTGGAAAAAGGAAGAACAGTCCGAGGGGTATGAAAGCCAAGAGAGAGTAATGATAAATGCTAAGAAAAGAAAAGAGTGGTCAGCCTTGCACAGTCCTTCTGAGATTGTTAAGCAGATTATACTTCCATCAGTACTGAGCCATGAGTTGAGGTGGAAGTCACCATTGCAGATATTTAAGTCAACTATTTTAATAAATTGATTATCAGTTTAAAAAAAAAAAAAAAAAAAAAAAAAAAAAAAAAAAGAGAGGAAAAAAAAAAAAAAAAAAAACCAAAAAAAAAAAAAAAAAAAGAAAAATATATAAAAATAAAAAAAAAAAAAAAAAAAAAGAACAAGAAAGAAAGGAGTGGTCAGCAATAAATATCAGTCACCCAATAAAAAGACCAAAAAGTGCCTAGTTTGATCAGATGGTCACTGGTGAACTCACAGCAGTTTCAGTGGAAAAAGCAGTAAGCACAGAAGCCAGACTAATATTGCCAAATAAGCAGACAATGGGGAAGCAGTGAAAGAGTAGACTGCTGCTCAGGAAAAAAAAAAAAAAAAAAGAGAGATAGCAAGCATGAGAAGCATGATGGTAGAGGAACCATTGTAATCCAAGAGGGAATCCTTCTGTGATTACATACATTTTCACAGGAGAATATGCGTTCTGACAGGGAGGGACTGGAGAATACACGTGGAGTAGTCAGCCTTCACAAGACAAAGAATGCCCAAAGAGTCCTACCACAGCACACCCCCAATGAAAGGAAGAAAGAATAGAAACAGAAACATGTTTATGATGTGATGTGCCAGGTGTGGGTAGCAGGAAGAAAATGAAACATTTCAGGATAAAGCCGCTCAGTTTTCTTGATAAGGCAAAGGAGGGAAAGGTGGTGCTAGGTGAACAGGGGCTTAAAGGGATAGCTTGGAAATAATCTTGTTTGAATAGGAAGAATTAAAGTTTTTTAAATAAATTCTTAGATTAAAAATGTTTTATGTCCTATTGCTTTGTTGTTGCCAAAGAGAAAATGGCAAACTGTATTTTTCTTTTTCAGATGATTAAAGGAAAAGTGAAAGCTGGAAAAGTAGACTGTCAGGCTTATGCTCAGACATGCCAGAAAGCTGGTATTAGAGCCTATCCAACTGTTAAATTTTATTTCTATGAAAGAGCAAAGGTATGTCCAGGCTTTCTTCTGTTCCTTCCCTTAGTAGTAGACCAAGCTCAAAAGATGTGTTTTAGTCTGAGTAATGTTTTTGTTTTTGTTTTTTTCTATTTTCTGCTCCCTGTCATTTTTTTATATTTATTACATTATTACTGATAAAAGTTTTTGAAACTTACATGTACACTAAGCGACCTTAAAAGGTTTTTTTTTTTGAGACGGAGTTTCGCTCTTGTTACCCAGGCTGGAGTGCAATGGCACGATCTCAGCTCACCGCAACCTCCGCCTCCCGGGTTCAGGCAGTTCTCCTGGCCCAGCCTCCTGAGTCGCTGGGATTACAGGCACGCGCCACCATGCCCAGCTAATTTTTTGTATTTTTAGTAGAGACAGGGTTTCACCATGTTGACCAGGATGGTCTCGATCTCTTGACCTCGTGATCCACCCGCCTCGGCCTCCCACAGTGCTGGGATTACAGGCTTGAGCCACCGCGCCCGGCCTTAAAAGGTTTTTTTGTGTCATAGTTGATACAGACTCAGATGCCTTAACATTTTTATGCTAATGAATAGGAAAACTACTAAAAAGAGACATAACAAAGTATTATTAGTGATTATCTTTGGATGGTGGAATTCAAGGTAATTTTCTTTCTATGAAAAGTTATGGTGACTGTTGAGGTCACTAAGAATACTCTATAATACACACTGCTGCTTGGAATAATATTTCCTTGCTGTATTTCTATTCAGTATACTGAATATAAATACAATAACTTAGTAAAATATAAAATAACTTATTTTACTAAGTTTCAAAGTAATGAGCTCACTTTGGCAGGGAGGAAAAAACAATGATAAACCAAAGTATTTGCCATGTACTCATGTTTTCTGGTAAAACATTGAAAAGATAATTTAAAATAGTTTTATACTTTTTGAGGGAGAATTAGGTTAAGATCTAATGTTTATTGGCATTATATTTTGAGAGAGGTAGGCCTAAATTAAGAAATTGGATGATGAATTTCAGAAATCTAGAATTACCACACATCTAGATTTTTCAGTGAAAGTTTTTGATCTGTCAAGAATCTGTCTCTGTCTTAAGAACAATCTAGCGCAAGCAGAATTTGATGGAGGTGAAAGGCAGTTTATACCAGAACCTAAGTCTTCATTTCTTTCAATCAACAGTTCTGTTTCCCAGTTTTCAGAACAACAGAGAGATGGGTGACGTAAATAGGGGTCTTCTTCAAATAATATCAGAGAAGTATCAATATAATGATCAATCACAAGAGTTAACCATACCATAGACAGAGCTGTTTGAATAGATGTTACCATGTGTCCAGAGGAGTCCAGGGGACAAAATTAGGAACCAAACATCCTGTCTAAATTGAAAGGCAAGGGTGGCATTCAGCCATTGACGCCAGACAGGAAGGCCAAAGTAGAATAACAGTTGGAGTAAAGAGAAATACAAACCAGGTGGGCAGTTACACACAAACCAAAATTCTAGCTCAAAGTTTGGGGATTAGGGTTCACACCAAGAGTAAGAAAACAGATGGCTCCAGATCCAAATAAGCAGGTCAGGATATACTGATCTGTTCCTTCACCTGCCTTTCAGCCACCTTCCTGCTGTGGGCAGATGAAAACTAGGAGATACATGTTGCTTTCCAATATTGTTGTTGGTCATGGTTAGCAGTGCTAATTATTGTATTGAGTGAAATGAGTTCATTTTTCTGGGAACATCTTTTCTTGTACAGTTTCGATGGTTTGAGACTTTTGGAGTCGATGCTTTTTTTTTCTTTTCTTGACAAAGTTTCCATAACACTATTATTAGTATTTATTTTAGGTACATTATGGGTTAACTGCTTTTGCAGCATTGTTCCCTTCAAGAAAAGAAATTTGAATTTCAAACGCTTCAAGTTTTGGAACAAAAGAACTTGAAAGCATATTTAATCAAATTTCTTAGGTGGAAATGTTATCTTTTGATTAAATACTTAAAAGATAACAAGTGTTTTTAATTTTAGAGAAATTTTCGAGAAGAGCAAATAAATACCAGAGATGCAAAAGCAATCGCTGCCTTAATAAAGGAAAAATTGGAAACTCTCCAAAATGAAGGCAAGAGGAGTAAGGTAAGGACTAAGCCTAGAGTTGACTTTTGGCAAAAGTTAGCAAAATTTATTTTTCCAATACATTACATGTATCCATAGACAAGCAAAATAAGGCATCAAAAAATAGTAAGGTAGCTGAAAATTCTACTTTGGGAAATAGGACAATCAAAATGTAGCCTAGACACTGAGTTGCTTTTTAAAAATTGGACAAGTAAAACCACTTACCAAAAATAGTGACTCTGGTCCATGCAAAAACATGTGTACAAACGTTCATAGCAGTATCATTCATAATAGCAAAAAAGAATGAAATCAAATGTCTATCAGCTGACAGATAAATGAGATGTGGTCTATCTATACAGTAGAATATTTTCAGCCATAAAAGAAACGAAGTACTGATCTTATGCTACAACATGGATGATCTTTAAAAAATGCTTAGTGGCCGGGCGCGGTGGCTCAAGCCTGTAATCCCAGCACTTTGGGAGGCCGAGGCGGGTGGATCACGAGGTCAAGAGATCGAGACCATCCTGGTCGACATGGTAAAACCCCGTCTCTACTAAAAATACAAAACATAGCTGGGCATGGTGGCGCATGCCTGTAATCCCAGCTCCTCAGGAGGCTGAGGCAGGAGAATTGCCTGAACCCAGGAGGCGGAGGTTGCGGTGAGCCGAGATCACGCCATTGCACTCCAGCCTGGGTAACAAGAGGGAAACTCCGTCTCAAAAAAAAAAAAGAAAAATGCTTAGTGAATGAAGCCAGTCACAAAGCCAAGATATTAGATAGTACTATTCATGTAAAACATCTAGAATAGATTAATCCATAGAGACAGAATGTAGATTAATGGTTGCCTGGGGCTGAAGTGGAGTAGGATGGAAAAAAGAGCAGAAATGGGTTAAGTGCTAATAGGTAGTAAGAAGTTTATTTGGGGAATATCAAAAATGTTTTAAAATTAGGTTGTAATGATAGTTGGACAACTCTGAATATACCAAAAGCCACAGAACTCCTTTAACTGTGGGAGTTTTATGGTATGTGAAATATGTCTCAATAAAGCCATTTAAAAAAAAACAGTGACTGTGGTCATAAATTATTTAAATTTTTTCCAATTTAAGTAAAGCATTTATTCCTAACAAGGAATAAGTGTACTGGAGCCTCATAACACATTTTGGATAGCAAATTTTCTTTTGTTCTTGGTTTAATCAAGATGTATTGAAACTCATATTTGTCTTGGCCCCTCTTTGAAACCTTAGTCTGTCAAGAAGTAGGACAACCTCTTTCCTACTACTCTTCAGAAGGCAGTTCAGTTTTACCTTTTTCAAATCAGTGTTACTGTAGGTCATACTTAAAAAGAGAACAAAGTCTATGAATGTTGGAGTGCTTTTGTTTTTTGTTTTTTTGTTTTTTTTTTTGAGACAGAGTTTCACTCTTGTTACCCAGGCTGGAGTGCAATGGCGCGATCTCGGCTCACTGCAACCTCCGCCTCCTGGGTTCAGGCAATTCTCCTGCCTCAGCCTCCTGAGGAGCTGGGATTACAGGCACGCACCACCATGCCCAGCTGATTTTTTGTAGTTTTAGCAGAGACGGGGTTTCACCATGTTGACCAGGATGGTCTCGATCTCTTGACCTCGTGATCCACCCGCCTCAGCCTCCCAAAGTGCTGGGATTACAGGCGTGAGCCACCGCTCCCGGCCTGGAGTGCTTTTAAAGTGGAATTTAATCAATCACATGAGGTATCTTGGATTCTTTCCCTATGAAGCAAAAGAAGGACAAAACAGCTCAGCCCCTGGAAAGGACTAGAGAAGCCTGGCTTTGTAACACCGTATTAGAATATAGGTTCTACTGTAATACAGTTCAGAACTGCACACCCCAATAGACAAAAACCTTACAAATTACTTCAAGAATATTTTTTACAAATCTAAAATGTAGGAAAGAATTGAGTCTGTATTTTCATGGTTCCACTGAACAAACATGTTTTTCTAGTGTTTTGCTATATTAGTTTTCTCAAGATATTTTATTTTGAAATGTATAACTTTTATCTCAGGTTAAATATTTGAAATTTTTAAATTGTCATAATCTAGATTATAACTGAAATTAAGTTAAAGAGCATACCAAATATGCTTGAAATTATATAAACCTATGTGGTTAGTAATATCTGCTGTGGGCAGGTAAGCACTCAGATAATTTTTTCTTTTTCATTGTTATGTTTTGGCAGAGTATGTTTCATGTCATGATTCATTACATAAGAATATTGAGTATTTCTGAAAAAGTAAAATGTTGGTTTGTGGTATTTTACCTTGTTTTTAACATTACAAACTCATACTTTCTCCTTTCTCTATCACCTTTACATTATTATAGGATGAACTTTGATGATATTGAAGATGAAGAAAAAATTTAAAAGAAATTCTGACAAATGACATCAGAAGACACCTATTTAGAATGTTACATTTATGATGGGAATAAATGAACAGTATCTTGGACTTGGAATTGTACTGCCAGAATTACCTACAGCACTAGTGTAAAAAAAAAAAAAGGGTCTGCAAACTTTTTCTGTAAAGGGCCAGATTATAAGTATTTTAGACTTTGCAGGCTATAATATATACATGAGAACAAGAATTGAGTCATCATTTATTCTGTTATTTTTTTTTAACAGCTCTTTAAAAAATATTAAAACCATTCTAAGCTCAGAGCCACACAAAAGTAGGCCAGATTCAGTCCATTGACCATAGATTGCCTTCTTTCACTATGCGCTCATGATGTTTCATGTGGCTGGCTGGAACATGAGTCTGCTGTGCTATTATCTACTTAAATGTCTACATTGTATAAAGTACACTTTCACTTCCCATTTTTTTGGCTGGCCTGAAAAGAGGTAATGGTTTTTGGTCACTTGTTCTCCTAAAAATGCTATCTCTGAGCATATGTTTATATTTTGTTTTAAAAACATTCATGATGTGGCAAAGTAAACATACCCTGTATATGCTATATTATGATGAAGAGATTGTTCATTGTTTTGTTTTCTTCTTAAAGGTTGAAAAAATGCTTTTAATTTTTCACAGCTGGGAAACAGTGCAACAGTATATGCACACACAGTAAGTATACAAATTTGAGCAACAGTCAGTGCTCAAATTCTGTAGCTTGCCATATCATCCAGGAAAAGCTGAGGGAAAAAAATTATAGCAATTACTGGGCATTGTAGAGTATCCTAAATATATTATCAAGTATTTAGAGTTTTACATTTCAAAGATACATGTGTTCATGTATTTTTCTGAAATTGTTTTCATAGAAATTTTCCCACCGATAATTGATTTTTGAGGCATCTTTCTAATATTTACATATTTGCCTTTTGAACTTTGTTTTGACCTGTATTCCTTTATTTGTATTGGTTTTTTTTTCCCCATAGTTTTGGTTTTTCACTCCTGTCCAATATATTTATTATTCAAATAGGAAAAATTATTTCGCAGGTTTGTTTTATTGTGGCTTATGATAGTGTAGTTATTCCAGTTACTAGTTTACTGTCAGAGAGCTGCCTTTTTCAGATAAATATTGACATAATAACTAAAGTTATTTTTATAAGAAAATCAAGTATATAAATCTGGGAAAGGGACTGTTTATTTCTGTGTTGTTTAGACTCAAAGAATCACAAATTTGTCAGTAACATGTAGCTGTTTAGTTATAATTCAGAGTGTGTAGAATGGTAAAAATTCAATCAATCAAAAGAGGACAGTGAATTTAAAAACATGCAGTTTTTTTCAAAAACCCGTTAGAATATGCTTTATTGTGTTTGGAAGAGTTTTTTTTTTTTCTTTTCAATATCACTTTACCCTGCTCTCCAGTATTTCCTCATAAAAGTGATTATAGCCATAATTAATATTAAAATAGAGTTTGTTCTTCATATTCTCCCATCTTTTTCTCTACTGTATACTCAACTCTGTGTGGATTCTGCTGTATGCCTGTGGGCATATATAGAACTGTCACCACTTCTCACACTTAACACCAGCTTTTTGAATTAATATCAGTAATGGCAAGAGGCTTTTATTCTCAAATTTTTAAAGCCTAAAAGTTCTACCAAATTGGCTTGTTTCTATAAGAATTCCAAAATGGAATGCCTAAAGAACTCTTACTTGGGTAAATATTTACTAAAATGTACTGGCTATGTGCATATCACCGCACTGGACACTGAGGAGTATACAAAAGGAATCTAAGACGTGGTCCCCATCTCCCAACTGTCTGTAATTCTCAGTTTTATCACTGAACTCATAAGGTGCTTACATCACTACCTATAAATAAGCTTCCTGCACTTATTAGTTGAGAAATATTTTAGGCAGTAAATAAAACAGTAAATATTTTGTGCCCTATAATTTGACCTGAGCTATGTGCCTTTGGAATCAGCTCTAAGCCAGGGCCCTCTGGGAGTCATGTTAAGTAATATGTATCATAAAGTGACATACATCAAGGTTATCTTATATAGTCATATCAGTGTTATTGAGTCTTTCAAAAACAGCTGGCAAATTTAGCTTTTAATGACTGTACTGATGCAGTGGATCGAGCACCTCTAAGGAGTACCAAGTATAATTTGCCATTTCTCTCAGCAACACCATTTTTGTTTGCAGCTGACCCTGACTAACATGGTACCAATTCTAGCTGACCAGAGCACATTCTATCAGGCAGCCAGCCTTGGAAATTAGGTCCATTTAAAGTATGTGGCATACAGCCAGGTATGGTGGTGTGTGCCTGTAGTCCCATCTACTTGGGAGGCTGAGACAGGAGGGATTGCTTGGGCTCAGGATTTCTAATCCAGCCTGAACAACATAGCAAGACCCCATCTCTAATAAACAAATTGTGTTTTGGGCATTAATGATGTTTGTCTTTTATAATTTCTCACATTTTATTTAGATCTTTCATAGCTTTTTTATTTAAAGGTATATGGTTAAAAGTAAAATGAGGCCGGGCGCGGTGGCTCATGCCTGTAATCCCAGCACCTTGGGAGGCCAAGGCGGGTGGATCACGAGGTCAAGAGATCGAGACCATCCTGGTCAACATGGTGAAACCCCGTCTCTACTAAAAATACAAAAAATTAGCTGGGCATGGTGGCGCACGCCTGTAATTCCAGCTACTCGGAAGGCTGAGGCAGGAGAATTGCCTGAACCCAGGAG